AGAGAGAGAGAGAGAGAGAGAGAGAGTTAATCAATCCAAAAGAGTAAATGAACTAAAACTCCAAACAACCCCTAGAAACTTGATGATATTATATAGCTTGAAACTCTCCACCCTTGGCTATCTGCATGAATGAGAGAACCACTTGAACAATAAAAAGAAGGCAGGTCGGCCAAAGAGGCAAACATGATGATGAGAGAGAGATCCTCAAAGCAGTATACCTTCTTTTACATAGAACTAGAAGCCAAAACCAGAGGAACCAACCAAGCCCATTATACACCTTTCCCCCAGACCCACCCACCAAAACAAAAAAAAAGAAAAAAAAGAGAGGAAAGAACCACAAAAAAGAGGCATACACCACCCAACTCATGTATACATGCCCTAAGCCAAAATCTCTTTATGTACCAACTAAATTACACTGGTAAAATGAAGGATAGACCTCTCAGCCATACCTAAAAAAGGGGGCTAATCTGAAAAAGGAACAGAGCAAAAGAAAGAAACACAAGCATATAGCAGCAAGTCTCTCAGCCCAGCCACACTGGAAAAGAATAAACCTTTCTTCTCGGAAAGCCTACACGACCAATCAACAACCCAAATCCAATAACCACTCCTCTCCCATTCTATAAGCCCACTTGGAGCCTCCTTGATAAAGTTGGAAGGGGAGATGCACATGCAAGATTCATTAATAGAGACCCCAGAATTTGTGCCCTTATCTTCTATCTAGTTGTAGATTTTAACTGGCTTCTCAAAAGTGTGACGGTTCTGCAAAAAGATATCATCAGATGTGAGGGGGAGAGAGAGAAGATGTTTTCAGGTCCAAATAAACCTGTTAGAAATAGACATGAACGCTTGTGGGTTTATTATAGAACTCTCTTTCAGTGTCCAGTTACAAATAAAGGGCAAATGATGGACAAAAAAAAAAAAAAAAAATCTTAAAAGATAATGACATTGTACCTGATTGGCCGTGTAGGACCTTTTTGGGGCACTATCTGAATGCTCCAACCCGAGGTACTGCTCCCAAGCTCCATAAACATCTCTTCTCTGCAAGGACGGATGGAATCATATAACAAATGTTCTTGAATGAAAAGAAACTAAGAAAATAGAAATAGAAATAGAAAAAACATGCCTGAAAACGGGTTGATACAACATCAGAATCCTGAAGGTATTCAGGGCGACCCAATGACAAAAATGCGAACTTCCACTGCTCAAGCATCACGAAAAATCAGCCCCATAATAGATGTTTGCACTTACATGCATGTGCACAAACGAAAAACACAAGCATATCATAAGGTGAGTGTGGCTCGTGTGTGTGTGAGAGAGAGAGAGAGAGAGAGAGAGAGAGAGAGCGCGATGGATTGTTGAGGGAGAGGGAAGATGACATGGATTAATGGCCCAGTTAGAGAATACCACATAAACAACCACTATCAAATTAGTGTTATGGATGGATGGACAGAAATGAAGGAGCTTGTTCATGCGGAGGAAAGAAGAAACAATTACCTTAGAGAACTCCTCGTCTGGAACCTGTAGCTTCTTCTGGATCCGTACCTTAACCTCAGCTAAAGTCTCCCCTTCACGAATGACTAAAAAGAAGGGTTCCCCAAAATTCTGAACCTGCTGTTAAAATGAAACAAGACCACAACCAACATAAACTAAACCACATGAGAGAGAGAGAGAGTGTGTCACACCAGTACAACCGCATACATAACACGTAAAGAACCATAAGATATTACCATCTGATTTTGCGTGGTATCCTTGGTAAAGTGGTAAACATGGATTAACCGATCATGAGGGCTGAGGTTTTTCTCTTCTTCCGGGATCTGGGACCATGCACAAAATTGCAAACTCAAATACTCAATATCAAAAAAACTACCCACACCATATTATGATCTGCTTAAGTAGAACTTATGGGTTTCAAGATATGAATTTCAAAACAGTTCTCCAGCAAGGAGATGAGAATCTTAGCAAGAACAATGTTCTGGATTTCATGCCAAAATTTCTATAACTAATAAAAATGAAGGAAAAGTACTACTGAACAATGTTGTCATGCCAATCGGCAAACAAGTGTTGTATTTTCAGAGAACATCATCATTTTAGCCTTTTCTCAATTAATTGGGATTGGCTACATGAATCGTGGTACACATCAAAACAATAGTTATACCCACAGTTTTTTCAAAACAATAGTTATACCCACAGTTTTTTCAACTCTGTAGTAAAAAATTATGAAGTCTGAAAGGGTATAAACTTCAGGTTTCATAATTTTTATCGATATAAAAAATACAAAATAAAAAATAAAATAAAAAGCATTAGGTTTCAACATGTCATACAAATGCAGTTTAATTTGGGTTTTACGTAGCCTACAAGCACGTAAAAGCATGAGTATGGTTTTTGTGTTAGTTATAGTTAACATGCACTTAAAGCGTGGACAATGTAATTTCTAAAGACATAGCAGGGAAGTTCACAGTGAATTTTTTCTTTTATCCCACTATATATCAGCAACTAAAAAACAGACTGGTTACCTCCTCAGCACGTAACGTCCAGTACTGATCATTTATGTTCTCAATCTTCTCACCAAGAGGAAATATCTGCGAAAAAGTAGTTGATAAACCCAGAATCATTCACCCAGTTTCTTTTCTTTTTCGTCTCTTTTTATTTTTTCAAGAATCATGCAACAATTACGGGAAATGAGACTACAAGAGTACTTTTCCCATTGGATCCTTCAATACATCAAAACATACCTTGTAAATCTTGTGATAGAAAACCTCAAGCAATCGAAGCTCAGCACTAGAGTTAGACAGCTCAACCTGTTTTAAGTACACAAGGACAACGACAAACGCAAAACCATTTGAAAGTTAAACGTTTACAAGTTCATTAAAAACACTTAAACAGAAATGAGATCAAATATGATAAAACAAAACCATAATAAACTCAAGATTACATGTATGCACATCAACCAAAACATAATGTCAACATATTTACAGGCATAACCAGGAAAAAACTAAATATCTATGAATAGGTGTGCAAAAGCAGCTTTTATAGCTCAGAAAGGTAAGTTTTCCCTAAATCTTGACTAAATTACAAAGTTTTCCCTAAATCTTGACTAAATTACACAATTCACCGAACATTGTAAACATCAAGTTCCACCCATTTCACATCAATTTTTAGTTTAGATTTCTTTTGCCCATGGGTGAATAAACACAACCCTCGCAAAAATAAGCTAGAGAAGAATACAGCTGACTGAAGTCACAAGTCATTTCACATCCTATACACTTCTCCTTCTTCCCCTCCTTCCGTCCCTCTTAAGACATGATCATCTTTCAAATAGTTTTTTAATTGATGAGTTTGCCAGTCATTTTTCCCCTCCCCCTCCCTCATGCAAGTATAGAAACACTGTTTTCACGAGACTCACCTTAGTTTTCAAATCATTGATGACATCCCCAACAGTGCTCTGCTTGGGTAGCCGGATACTATGGCTAACAACCTGCAACAAAATAAATAGAGGATTAAGCAAGCCCATGCTCCATCCAGACCACAAGGAGGACAGTCAGATACTCACTTCATCTTTGGTTGAATGATGAAATGCAACTTTTAGGGTTTTCAAACCCTGCAACTCTGGCAGTGGAATATCCAGCACTTCATAATACAATATATCAGAAGTCTGCATAAGATCAAAAAAATTATACGATATTTCTACTCACAAAGAAATGCAAACAATAAAAACAAAAACCACAGAGGAATCCAGTTAATGTAAGTCTCGAGCAAATAATGAATGCACAACCTGGTTATAGTGAACCAGCATATCCGATAGACGCTCCACGCCCCGATACTTTATTGGTTGGGGTTTAGGTTGCTGGGAATAACAGTTGTGAGATGTGAGCCGTATTTTTGTTGGATCATCCAAACCAAGTTGACGAGCAACCCTTTCCACAACATCATCATATGTGTACAGCTTCGATCTTCAAAGAAGTAAAAATTTGTAAGCACAAAGGATTTCAAATGTCATGGGCCAAAAACAGTCATAATACTCACAGTTCTAGACAGAAGTCATCCTCCTTTGGTCTCTCCAATGAACGAAAATGGACAACCTGCACAATTAGATATTATTAAATTATGAAGCCCAATGATGAAGAGAGAGCTGAAACAATTATATTCGCAGATATAACCAGACGAACAAGAAACAATGGAGGAAATGATGATAGCACGGAAGCACTTGAACAGCTAGGTGTACATGTGTATCAGACAAACAATAGACTTCTCTTGCAAGAAAAATCAGCAGAACAATGTAACAAATGTCGTATCATCTATAAAAATGTCTATTTTACACCCTAAAGCTCCATTTTGAGGCACCACCTCAATCTAACATGGAAGATCAATATGTCTATTATATGTAAGGGTGTTTTATTTTCTGATCAGTATCAAATAGTATATTACAAAGATAAGTATGCATCTGCTTACCTGCCGATTATGTACATAATCCAAGAAAGAAGGTACATCTGGATAACGGAAACGTTCATCATTTTCTGCAGACAAGGCTTTCTGGAAGCATATAATATCCCCATCTTCAAGCTGTGCAGCAAACATATTAGGATGCTGTAAGTTCTATTCATAAGAAATCAAAATACTGTTGTTAAGGAAATGACACCAAATTCATTTGTCCAAGGGTCAACAGAGTACATACCTGGCTCGCTCGAAATGCAAGCTTCTTGTCAATATGCTCACACATGACATTCGGTTCAAACTTTATTTCCTAACCAAGAAAAAAATCATGTAAGGAACAAATGGATAACAACAAGCCACACATGAGAATAAGTAAGAGATCACAGACTAGAAACCCAACCTCATAAAGTTCGATTTCTTCATTCGGAGGGAAACCAGCCATTTCATTCAGTTTTGTCAAAATCTCAATTGGCTTTCCCGAGGACTTCACAAAAAGTCTTCCAACATAGCTGGGTTGCAAGAAATATAATAGAAGTCACACAACATGCCAATGTACAATCAATACCTGCACTACTAATGAATGAAACATCATATTTACCGTAGCTCTTCTTTTTCTGGGTCATAAAGTTTGAAAAATAGTAGTATATCTTCTTTAGTCTTCTCAGGGGGAAGGATGGGACGTAGATCCTGCAGGTTCAGATAAGGAAGTTTTGTACAGATTGCAAAAGAGTAAGAAGTGCGCTACCATCAACCAATACATCAAGTACAAAAGCTTATCTCAGCAGAAAACGAAATGAAACCATGTTAAAATAACTTGGACTTTAAAAAAAATCTCACAGGTCCAAATTCCACTTCCAGGAAGAGCCTCAATTCTGCATTATGAGCCTTGTTTGATACCTCCCTCAACTGCCCAACCTACAAAGGCAATAGAATGGAAAAATATATATATATATAAGATCAAGTATGTATGCTCCAGATGATAACAAAAAGGAAAAAGTGCATACCATTCCAGAAAAGTGTGTGTACATGCAGTGCAGGCAAATGTATATAGCTCTAGTACAAGCCTAGGTTTCCAAACAGGAAAGAAATGGAAAGACATTCTAAGGAATAATAAGAGACAATATGCCCCACAAAATCACCCGCTCTGCCCTCTGGAGACCACCCAAGAGGGGTAACATCAAGCTTAACTTTGACGGGTCCTCCTTGGGTAACCCTGGCCCAGCTGGGATCGGCGGCATCTTCCAGAATCATGCCGTCATCACCCACATCTCTCTCTCGGCCTCCATTGGGACCTCAGATTCCACGGAGGCTGAAGAGCAAGCCTTGCTCGAAGGTGTCAGACAGTTCAATCCCTCTTGGGGGGCTTCACCCATCATTCAAGGGGACTCAAAGAATGTCATTCACTGGGTGTCAGACAGTTCAATCCCTCTTGGGGGCCTTTGCTCATCATTCAAGGGGACTCAAAGAATGTCATTCATTGGGTGTCCCATTTAGCTCAACCTCCCTGGAGACTCTGGCACATTTTTGACGAAATTCATCATCTTTACAGGGGTAAACAGGTCTCTTGGACACATATCTGGAGAGAGGGTAATCGCACAGCTGATGAACTTGCTAAACTTGGAGCAGCGACGGAGTAACTGAGTTTCTTGGAATGCGTCCTTTGTATGGCGCAGTTTTTGCTTTTCTATTTTGTTGTACTAGTCTAGTTTTCCTTTTTTTTATTTTCGTTTGTTGCTCTTTTTTGTGTCCCCCATCACCTTTCTCAGTGACTCGCCCTCTTTGGCTTCTTTCGTATTTGTAATCTGTTACCCATCGATACAATGTTAACATTTATCAAAAAAAGAGCCACAATATGCTTGGTATATTATCTTATTAACATAGAAAAACTTATTTTGCCTGGCAGGCATAGGTGGCATCTTTCACTCAGACGCATGTTACACCCTTCAAACCATCTCTGGTTCCGCTAGCAGTTGTGATTCGAATGACGCTGAAATGATGGAAGCGAGATATTCCTAGAGTGTCAAAATGTGATCTCATGGGCCAAGAGGGAACCAGTTTGACCTTGGAGATTAGGTATTCTTTTGAGGAAATTTTCCATAGATGTGCATATTTCGAGGTCCATTTTAGCAGACAGGTGATGCAAATCTACTGCACTCGCCGACTCTATGGCAAGAGAAAGGGTTAAAAGGTCAGAATGATAGTTGTTAGCTCCGGAAGCTCCCACTCTGTCCGACAAATCTTGACCAAGAGATTAAGCATATTAATAAAATCAAATATAATTCAAAGACTACCTTCCCACCAAAAGGAAGCATTCAACATCCTTGATGGCCATAGATAACCGTTAACTAGGGAATAGAAAAAACATTTTAAGAGCCAGTATACCTGCATGGCCTTAGGTATATTCTTCTTTCCACTATAAGGGGATAGGGGCTAAATACGGCTATTATCAAATAGGTCCTGTTCAGCAGCATTCTCTACACAGGTGGAGTCCCAAAAGCGATGAACATAAATGAATTACAGTACGAAACCCGCACAGGCAGCACAAGATAACAGTACTAAATCCCTTTGGTGGACCATTCAAAAAGGCCCCAAAATACAGAACTTCCCCACATTGCACATATCAGCTATGAGATCACAAGTTACCACAGGCAGGCACTTCAGCAGCAGAACAGAGTATTCAAAGACTTCAACGCATATGGAATTTCCACCATCTATAGAATATTTAACCTAATATCCACCATTCATGTTTATCCACAAGAATGGCGCAATGAGCTGTCGCCAAAATTTTCAGCCGCCCAATCTTTTTGGCAGGAATAGCTTCTCAACTCCACCACCTATGTACGCATAGAAGGTCGATACTGGCTAAGAGTACCCAATTATTGTACTCATAAAGAGTATAGTACCAGGCAGCGTCACCTCCACATGTAGGGCTACACATGGGGAACTGCATGTGACATCAAAAGGCATAAAATAGCTCACAAGCAAGTCTGAACTTCGGACATCTTGTGAGGGAGCAGCAAAATACTACTTGCACAGATATGCCTTGCCATAGTAGCTTTTTATACCTGAGTACTACAAGACTGGACACGCGTGTAGGTACCCATGTAACACTGGTATCACAACCCTTTAAAAGATAAAGATAAAAAAATAAAAAATAAAAAATAAAAACCAAAAAAGGCTTTCCTTGGCTAAAAAATCAAAATATTCAGATAAAAGTCTATCTTTGCTCCAAATTGATGTATGAAGTAAGATAATTTGTAAAAATTACTAATAATAGAAACAGGCTGCAGGAATTTTAAAAGAAAACATGGCTTCCAGCAATCTTATAAACGAACCCAAATATTTATAGAGCAATCCCTCATTCCAGGAAAAGGTGGACTTTGATCTTTCTAGCATGCATAGGAAACAAAAAACCTTCCTTATCAAGAGCATTTGAGTGGTTATGCATAACACATTCCATATCATACAGCAAGCAAAGTGACTGGTGAAAAAATCTGCATATTGAACAACAATAATTCCAGCGTATGGAATATGTAACATGCTAATGGGGAGCACATAAGGAGATGCGTCTCTTACCGATTGTGTTTCTTCTTGATGGGTCAATGGCCTGTTGGGGCGATAGGTATGGTTTTGACGCTTAGCCCACAGCCAAAACCGTTGAAATTGCACTGGTACGCCAAACTCCTTTGCGACCTCTTCCTAAGAAACAGACATAGTTTTAGAGAACAAACAAACCAAAAATAAAATAGCAGGGAAATTGAAATAAGAATATGAGCACAAGGGGGAAGATACGCCAAGGGCACATACAACATCATGACAAGCCACTGGCAAGGCATACTAAATACTAAAGCGTTATTTGTACAGCTGAGATCCTCTTCAAAAACTGATTAAGTACATAAAACTAATAGTTAATGAAGTTCCAATGTGGACCACATTTTCAAGCACTGGCAATGCCCCAGTAAGAAGAACTGCAACAACAGATCTCTGATAGAGATAAAATGACTTAAAATCAGAAGACCATATACACAAAAGTATCCTATGCATTGGGACTAGGTACTTAGCACAATTACTTATCAAAAAAAAAAAAACTGTGCACATATATGGATACTAACACGAAGTTAGTGCCAAACAATACAACTATCTATCAGTTGTAGTTGGGACTTGGGTGTTTCTGAGTGGCCCAGATACCACATCAAAAGATAGGAAACACTCAGTGACTGTCCAGAGAGGTACAAAAGGGACTATGTTGCTTAACTGGACTTGCATCTCTTAGGCATGATTTTTGGTAGCTCTTATAAGGCTCATTTTCCAATAGTGTGTGGTGTGTAGGGTGATTCCCTCGACAACATTAGAAGGTCTGGAGGTAGTGAGATCACCTTTGGCATTTACAAGCTATTAGGAGAACAAGGAAGTGAATCATTCTGTCTGTATTAAAAACTTTTGTCAACCGAGCAGATACTTTAGGCAATAGCCAATTGGGGGGACAATAGAGGTGAGAGTTGGAGGTGTGGAACTTCTTCACATCTTACAGATAAAGAATTTTGTATGATTGGTGTTTGGTGCCTCTCACCTCTTGCTATTTAATAAAAGCTTATCATCTACCCAAAAAGAAAGACCAAAATTTGCAATTATTATATAAAAAGTAGAGCAGTTATCCAATATATACTTAATAAATAACTTATCAATATACATGATATTTAACCCAGAAAAATATACATGATATTTATTTGATTTATTCTATTCAATATTGATATCTGTTATCATAGATATATCCAAATATCACGCAATACATGACTATTCCTTTCTTCTTTTCCTCAGTAATAAATCACATAACAAATACTTCAGTCACAAAGTATACAAGCAATACAGTTCATACTTTAGTTTTGATCCACAATCATTGTTATGAAAAAGACGGACTTGATTTGAAGCAATAACCAAGTAATCTAATGGCTATATAGGTGCCTAACTAGGCGTAGAATATACAGAAACTGATGAGTTGATAAAAAAAGATACATAACTGTACAGGGGCCTGCACTTAGAGAACAATATGAACAGTCAGGATTGCTACAGTTGAGAGAAATAGATCAATAGATAAAACACCTTGAAAACACTGAAAGGCATTTGCTTCTGAATACGGAAACTTCGAACTTTGTCGTGGTCCACAAGATCAAAATATATATCCTTTCCTATTTGTTCTGCTAGATCCTCATTTTTTGCAACCTGAAAGACATATTTAACATAAGCATTTAGTCCAAAGAAGCAGAGCACAAAGGTGAAGAGGACACTACTGACCATGATAATAAGGATAAATTTCAGACCTTTATGATGGTATAAAGGTGTGCCTCTGCTTTCTCCTTCTTCTTGTGCTCTTTCTCTTCTTGTTCTTTCTTCAATCTTATCTGAATTTTAAATTGCAGAGGCTCAATGTAAATTCTGTCACTAAATCCAGGAAGACAAGAAATATAAACCAGAAACACTCCTCTTACCCTAAGATGTTCAGCAATGTCCTTCTCATCCACATTACAAATGACTTTCTCCTTGTCACTTTCTCGGATGTACACAAGCATGTACGCATTTGAATATTTTGTAAATTTGAATGGTGTATTATTAAACCCAGGATTTTGTGGCAACTGCTAGACACAGTACAAGAGGAAAATAATGTTAAAAGTGGAAACAAAAATACCAGGAGAAAGTCATTAAGAAAATTTGGAGCTTCTTATTCTGTCCAATCATCACCTCCTCCTCACCACCATACTGCTCCTCTAATGCCCTCTTCATATCTTCTTTTGTCACACGCTCATCGTCAAACTTGAACCTAATAACAAGGTTTTGTTGATTAAGTTACAGATTTCAAATAACAATGCGTAACATAGCAATGAAGAAGTCAAAAGAACGAGGAAGCAAACTAAAAAAAAGCACAAACAATGCCATTTTTCCCAAAATGCTAGCACCTATTAGGACTAAACAAGGACTTCTTGTAAAACGATTTTGAAAATTATTTCGCAAAAGCAAGAATTTAACAGCCCGTTATAGACAAATAAAACCCATTAATGGCATCAACCCACTGTAATGAACACAAGGTTACGAGAAAAAAATTGCATGAAAATCACAACTAAGGTAACCACAACATGGTGGAATAGAAATGAGAAATTGTAATGCATGGACTAAGCTAAAAATGGAAAACAAGCTCCTTTAACACTTTCTATGCTAATGAAAATCAAAATAGAAAATATGCACAGACATACCATTGGTCAGAGAGGGTTGGCCTGATGAAAGCATAATAATGTCCACCGTGTACACCACCACTGTGAACTAGAACACTGCAAAAAAAATTGGCATAATTAGGTTTCATATTGTTCCAAAGCCACATTAAACATTCATCAATATTAATCCTGAAACTGCTATCACAGAAATCAACCAATACAAACTCATTATCACTACTCATGAGAAAACCCAGTGTTAAGAGACCTAAATGCAAAAATGAGAAGGGAAAGAAAGGGAAGAGAAAAAAAACCCAAAAACTAGAGTATGGGTATAATACTGAGCTCCTAGTAGCCAAATTCAGAACATATGACTTGTAGAGTATGAGTATAATACTGAGCTGCTCCTAGTAGCCAAATTCAGAACATAAGAAACAAGTCGTATTCAGCATGGCACGGAAATTAGCCATGCCATGTGGAGTGTCACGAAGATAACCAAGCACTGCCATATGAAATATGGCCTCAATTGATCCAAGAAATCCCTAGAAACAAGGTGGTAAGCAAAGGAAAAAGTACGCAATAAAATACAAGGTCTTCCCCAATGCATTGACATTCAACCATTACAAAAGGCACTACGAGCATTTTTGTGGTTTTATTCTCTTCCTTTCTCTTCCCTCGTACTACTTCCAACCATGTCCTTGTGGGCCAACCCCTTGCCCTTTTTGAGCCTTCCAATTGAACTAATTTGTACCTCCTAACGGGCGCTGTATTGCGTATATGCCACACATGACCAGCCTACCTAAGTCTACTCTCTCTCATCTTATCGCCTATTGGTGTCACCCCTAAATTTTTCCGAATGAATTCATTTCAAATTCTATCTTGTCTTGTCTACGCACTCATTCATCTTAACATCCACATCTCCACTACACTCATTCTATCGGTATATGGTTTTTTGACCACCCAACATTCCACCCCATAGAGAAAAGCTGGTCTCACAGATATGCTATATATATATATATATATATATATATGAGAAATGATCCTATAGGACCCTCCCCACCCATGTGTGTAAGACCCCAAGGATCACCATTAAATTTGGCACGGATATATAGAAAATGTTAAGTCCTACACCCATGTGATAACTTTTCTAGAGATCCGTGCCAACTTTAATAGTGATCCTTTGGGGTCCTACACACATGTGGGGGAGGGTCCTATATGATCATTACTCTATATATATCTATAAGGGAATGATTTCATGAACGGTTGTATAGTAGTATAATGCAAACATCTTCAAAAACTATGTTAGAGACATTTGTTTGACACGAATTTTTAAATGTACACTCGTTTCACTCTGAAGAACAATCACAAAAAAGAAAATTTCGAAAAAAATGCTCTAGAAAGTTTTCACTATAGCACAATTACTACAAGCCGTCCATTTTATTAAGATGGTTAGATATAGGCCTCAGAAGGATTTTTTTATTTCCAAAATTTGTATATAACGTTATCATCATTAGATTAATATTGCTAAAAAAGAGAAAAGGGATTTTGAATTTGTTAAGGCCTAGATCTAGAAATTCACCAAATGGATGGTCGAGATTCATTGTTGGATGGGTACTAATTTTGACCATATCTAGGGACAAATTGAAAAAAAAAAATTGTAGGATTTGATTATGAGGATGAAGAGAATGTGTGTACAAAATTTGTGGTCATACAAATGCCAAAAAAATGGTTTTCTAGAGGTGTGGTTTCATTATACTACTATACAAACGTTGCATTAGATCATTTCCCATTACATATATATGTATATGGAAAAAGTTTATATCCAGCCCCTCTAAACAATCAAATTAGACCCCTCCTCTAAAATTTCACTAAGAGAGGTTGTTTTGATGTCCAACTATCCTCAATTTGATCATCTCGACATCAAAATGCATGGACATGAGAAAAGATGGATTTCAAGTTCTGGAAATAGTGTATCTTGTATAGCATTTTTGGATCGTCAATTTTAAGGATTAGCAAGTTTTCATAGATTTGTTCGATCTACACCATTTTTTAAGCTTGAAAAATTATAATTAGAGATGAAAATATATTTTAAGGCTATCACAAAGATTTCCAGTATTGAAACCACATTTCTCGGCATTATTTGAAGGTGTGCTTTACTTTGATTGTTTAGAGCCTCAGCTCTATACAAACTGTACTCGACCAAATTCCAGCGACCAGATTGCTAAGTTAGGGGGATTTGCTTCAGCCCAAAGGATCATTTTCATTCATCACAAATCAATTTAAGGAGAAAACGATTTGGAACACGAATCCCCAAGAATGACCGTCAATTTGATGGACAAAATAGATTTAGGATTTTAAGAGCTCAAAGTCAATAAAAAGAAAAAAGAAATTAAAAAAAAAAAAGAGGACTGATCACAAGCTGAATCATACACATCATAAAAAGTCTCTAACTCTCAACTTATCCATGAACTATATTTACATAAACAACATTTCAAGACCATTGTTCTCCATACATAGCAGTAAATATTCAAGGTCTGACAAACAAGTTACATGAGCATACATCAATTTTTAACACAATAAAAGAAGAAGAATTTAACAACTATCAAGAAAGAGTCATACATAATGAATGGATGATGCACGTACCTGTGCAGCGTATAAAGGTTCCGGACACTCCTGTCTGCATCTGGAGAAAGATATTTCCCATTCTCTCGATCAAGGTCCAATTGTAATGGGAACTCGTACCTGTCATTTATCTGCAGGCAAAACAAGCATAAGAACCAAGAAACTATGCAAAGGATTTTAGTTACAAGAAAAATGAACTAAGGAAATATTAAAGCTACTATGAAATGAACAAAAACTACAAAAGCAATATCACATTCTAGACAATCTTAAAACAAAACTAGTTAAACAGAAACCCTCAATAAACTTAATCGTTTAGCGAATTAATGACATCTTTCAACTATAACATACATTCCTTAGCCATTAAACAGTTGCAGGCTCACACAATGAGGAGAAACGAAATGTGTATAATTCATAACAGAAAAAGGACAATGCGCATAATTAGCTTCTAAGGACTTATAAATTGTTATTGGGTAAAGATAAACTAACGAGAAGAAAGTATAAACAATCATGATGTGTCTTTTAGATAATAAACCATCACTGATGGTTTTCTATAAGTAACAATAACAAATTGTAGTAAAACTTAAAACAAATACTCATCAAAAAAAACAAATAAATCTAAAATATCATATCATGAAGTCATACTCATACAATCTCTTATGCAAGCAAAAAGAAAATAAATTTTCCATTGAATGAAAAAAATAACAAATCTACATAAAATGATCCACTGGCTGAAAAAAAGCCATGCTTCTCATTTTTTTAAGAAAAAAAACAAATGACTATCAAAATCCCCACATAATAATCACTGGCTCCTAAAAAGAGCAATCTATTTGGGAGTGGTGGATCAAAAGGGAACATTCCAAAAACAGAAATTGATACTCCAAATTATGGTGAACATTACATATCAAGGTGATTGAGAACTTCTCTAAGTAAGGAACTGCCGATGCATAACCCACTTGATCTACAGAGGCATTTCAAGATACAACCACATGTAATATGAATCATCACAACAACATGAAGTGGTGAAGTGGTCGAGTAGAATGTATGCCCTGGATGTGGAACCAAACTAAATCCATGATGAAATAGACTGAGTAGAAAAAATCAATTATTTCATACAGACCTTAACCATTGTATCCCTCATGAAATCGTACTCAAAGCGCTTTAGCTGAAGTTGCAATACAGGAGGGAAATCAATGAAAAGCACACCCTTCCGAGCATCCTATTCAGATATGTAGCATAATCATTAGGTAACATCACATAGAATGATATAGAAAAATCTTTCAAAGCTGATAAGGTTTATGCAGTATAGGGAATACCCAGCATTAAACAATGCCCTCCCATGGACAATACCATGATAATCACGTAAAAGATCCACTGTAATGGTGAAAAATGAAAGGGCGTAATGCACAAAGAGTTTCTAACCTGCAAACCATGTTGCTCGGCATGGTACTTGTTGTCACCTTCAAGACGTTCGACTTCCACATACTTGTCAAAAGAAGCATATACATCACGACAGCCTTTGACATCAAGCTGGAGGTCTGGGAGGGATTTGAATAAAATACATATCTTCGGTCGGTAATAATATATAATGAAAGAATCCACAGAAGAGCCCCAATTATGCGATTTAATAATACAATAAGTAAAAGGAGAGTACCATAAAATGACTCCTTTCTTGTCGATTTGTAATCTACATTAATGCACTCAATGTAGTTCATGTGGTGCCCTTCAAATAATTGCTGTATCGTACCCTCGACCACTGTACCCTGAGCAGGTAGAATCAAATGTAAACTAAACAATACTTGAAACTGAAGCAAACCATGCACTGCTTTAACGATGAACCAGCATTATATACAAATCCTGTGCTAAACCAAGCTACCCAATACAACAAACCAAAGAAGCCATCAAACCTTCATCTTGTCCTCCAGTTTTTCACAAAGAACCCTATTAAGCTCCTGCACATCATGCTGCATGAAAGAATCATATGTGTCCCACCCGAAAGATTTAGTCAGCTCTTTTGTGGCAACACTATTGTCACTATACTGTAGTTTGTAGAACAAGCTCTGTAGCGCTAGTGGGATGCTCCCAGATGGCATATCATTTTCAGTGGTGGGCATATGGTAAACCGCCTGTTAGAACAACATTTGAATCAAATATGTTCAATCAAAGCACCAAACAGTAAACGAAATGTTTTTCTGATGGTTAACATAATGAATACTGAAGAAACATCAAAGTGTACCTAAAGGTCAGAGAGAGACTAATATATATATTGGCACAAATATAACCTAAGGAGACCAAAACAATAAATAATGTGTGTCACACAAACAAATAAGCGTCCCCAACACTCAAATAGGTCCTACCAGAACCTGTTTTCCACCTCAGCGTTGCTTAGAAACCTCATAGACATCAATAGACAAAAAAATCATCACATAATTGTCCAGATACACTCAAAATTCTTACATGCAGTGAGGAGTATATGTTTTTGACTCAAGAAAAAATAAAGGAATGGAGGTCAGCATCAAGACCTTTCTGAAGTATGGAATATGGTAGAGAGTCTGAAGAAGAGAATTCATGTAACAAGTTGCTCCCTGGTTTTTGAGCCCAACATAACCAGTTTCTTTCTTAGAGTCATACGTCCAATAATCAACGACTCTACGGACAGCAACTTCTGCTTCCACTACTACTGTATCATTAACAAGATACCCTTTGTTCGGGTCATAGAGGTCACTGAGAGGCATAAATGATGTGAAGCCCCAATCACTTTCTCGGGCATTAAATTGGTGTTGTGTGTCTGCATTAAAAATAACCCAGATGTTTAGGACACTATAAATTCCAGTAGCTGCATATTAGCTCAACAATCATGCAAATGTTATGATATTCTAATTCTTTCAGATAGAGAATTCTGAGTCTAATGCAGCACAGAGAACAAAAATTCAACAAGAGATGATAGACCACAAGAGAGAACTTGCCCATATGCCACTAGTTTCATGTATTATATTTTTATTAGCATCAAATGTCCAAGTAATGTGTGCAATAAATAATAATGGCCCGATTGACAACCCCTAATGGACAGAGGGGGTTGGACAGAAATATCATTAAAGCCGGGGTAATTAAGAATGCTTGCTATCATGCAAGTGTAGTATTCGGAGTATGACTCTGGGAAGTGCTCCTGCTCTTATCCACACTTGTTACAAATGAGAAAAAGACGCATTAAGAAATGTCTGGGGAACAAAAAAAAGACATGTGACTGCGACATACCTCATACCACATTAGCATCTAGGTTACCTCGCATTATCCAACAATCTATTAAGTAAAAAGATTCATATAACATTATCAAAAGTGATTCATCTAACCAATCTTTACCTTCCTGACTGCATATAAGCCCTACAAGTAAACATTCACTAAAGCCGCATGTAAGTGCATTACAGTAGAAATATGCTTTCCTTAAGTGACTGCTTGAATACATTCAAGTATGACATGTACTCGAATTGAGTTCATATTTCATAGTCATTATCATTTGAATACTACCTAACATAAATTTCATTTCTTATGCTTTCACTTCTAGACATACAACCACACCTACTTTATTTTATTGCATCACAATCTCCACACACTTAATTCAGTAGATGCTTCATTCCATAGCGCTCACATTAGATAATGAAGAGAAACAGTCGAACACAGATACCTTTTCTTATTGTGTACTTGCTATTAAGCTGGTTTACGACCGACAAGCAGAACTGTGCATATCGACTCCACCCATAAGGAAGAGTAGCAGAATCCGCCACATCCAAGTACATCGACAAGTGGTCCACATTATTCCCTTTGGGGAATATCAGCACCCGCCTACCAAAACCAAAATCCCATCAATTAAAACAACAGTGATACCATCACAAAAATGGTGCACAGACCATTCCCATGACAAGAATCAACCAGATCAAACCACGTCATGCGTCAGAATGCAGCAAGATGAGAAATCCAATGTGCCACAAAATTGAGTTGAGAATCAAAATACAGCAAAATAATAGTCCCAGTGTGCCATACTATTGAAATTCAATGATCCCGACTTAAAATATCTGCTTAAACCGGTGCAAAAACAAACTAGGGAATATGCATGAATTCGCGCTAACCCAGAGATTTTCAACAGATAAAATATGCTGGAATTGAGATCCCTAGTACCATTTGTAACCCCCGACTACAAATATGTCGGAGTAGTGCTTTTTGCTGTTGAGCCTTGAGAAATTCTCGATCGTCCAAGTGAATCGAGAAGTTGGGGGATCCTCAACAGGCTGGTTCTCGGCCGTGCTAACAGTTTCCCCCTGCGCCACTACTACACCTCCAAATAGATAGAAGGTGTAAAACAAACAAACAGCACAGGGTAAATCAACGAACAAAACATGAAACACAAAGCCATGAGGAAGCCAAACACGAATATGCAGGAAAGAATGGAACCAATTCCATCTTTCACTGAAATGATGTGGAATCAATAGATTCAAACCAAGAAAGAAGCTCTATAAATTTCAGGAGGTGAAAAGTGCACAGAGTTCGAAGAGCTCAAGATACCTTCCATTGGTTGAGCATTATCGTTGAACTCTGAATGAGGAACCAGCATCTCGTCATCCTCCTGCTGCAAAAGAGAAACAGCAGAAGAATTTCATAGCTTTTAGATCTACTAAAACCCTAGAAAAATCACCGCCGCAAGAGCCTAAACTAAATCCCTAGGGATCAATAACAGGCAAAATCAGATCGAAATTGCAGATACTCCATGAAGTAAACCCCAATCAAGAACCATTACCGATGCAAATAGTCCAAAAAAAGAGGTAAAACATTAAGGGTAAAAGCGCTCTGGGAATAGAGAGCCAAATTGCCTAGGTTAAAATAAGAAAAAAAAACAGGCACATGAATAAAGAGGGAGAAGAAGAAGAGATAGACAGAGAAAACCATTAAACAACGGGAAAGTAAGAAATTAGGTTAAAGATTCTTACGTCTAATGGTGGAGGTGTCATCATAGTCATGGATGCGGGTGAAGCACTGGTTAGATAGAAGATCGAAATCTAGAGAGAGAGGCTGTGAACGGAAGGGGGAAGGGGAGGGGGGGAGAGAGAAAGGGAAGCGGAATTGGCCCTGCGAGCGAGGGGCACAACGAGAGGAAGGAGGAGAAAGAGACTTAGTTTAGAGAGAGAGGGGTTTTATTTTTTGAGGGGGAAAAACGAAACTGAATGAGAATTAATAAAAGGAAAAGTTTATATAGAACCGAGGCTATAAACAATCAAATTAGATCCTACCTCAAAAAATTCACTAAAAGAGATTGTTTCGATGTTCAAATATCCTCGAATTAATCATCTCAGCATCAATATGCACAGACATGAAAAAAAAATGGATATCAAGTTTTATAATAATAAATTTTATAATTTATTTTTAGATCGTCAATTTTCAATATTTTCAAGTTTTCATAGATCTTGCGATCTACAATATTTTTGAAGCTTTAAATTTTATAAATAAAATTAAAAATATATTTTAAGACTCTGGCAAAGATTGTTAGTGTTGAAACCATATTTCTCGACGCTATTTGAAAGTAGGCTCTAATTTAATTGTTTAGAACGTAAGCTCTATACAAACCGCACCCATACACTTTCGAGCCCTTTCCCTCTCCCCTCCTTTTCACTGTTTATCATAAGGCCTGCCTCTTTCTCTGTCTTAAATTTATTTACCTCTACAACTTCAACATAGAGATCGCAATTGTAGAGAGAGAGAGGAATACATAATGCCCTTTATTTACATTCAAATTCTCTTTATCTTCAGCATAGTGATCAATTGTAGAGAGAGAGAGAGGAGATACGTGATGCCCTTTATTTATATTCAAATTCTATTTATCTTCAGCATAGTGATGGCATTTTCTTAGGGAGAGAAACGTGTGCACCTCCCATAAGATCTCTCTCATGCACAAACGTGTAAACTCTAGAGCGAGAAACAAACCATAGTCCTTTTAGAGAGAAAACATAACACTGCCCCATTGTAAGGGATCTCTCCAAAATCACACACGTATATTCTAGTGTGATTAACATCTCATGTAGTCTCTAGAGAGAGAAACAACGTTGTATACTCTCTATTTCTAATAAATGTTTGCAAGAGAATCACACGTGTATAATCCTTTAGAGCGAGGAACTCATGGCTTACAGATAATTTGGGAAGAGAGTGATGTCTTTGAGTGAGAGACACACGTGTGTACTCTAGAGTGAGAAACAGCACAATAGTTTTTTAGAGAGTGTGTACTCTAGAGTGAGAAAGAGCACAATAGTTTTTTAGAGAGAGAAAACCTGCCCACTTCTCTATTTATAAGAAACAAATGCAGGAGAATCACACACGTGTTTGCTCATTTTAAGCAAGGGAATCATAACTTCCTAGAGAGAAGATTTCTAATAGACAATTTGGAAAGACCCATGAATTTTGAGAGAGAGAGAGAGAGACAGAGTTGGTAAATTTGCATACCTTGGTGAAGTGCATCAATAGAATGACTATTTACTTGCATGTAAGCTTGTATCCTCATTTACATATTGTGTTTGTATCTAAATACTTTGATGAGGGTAAGGATAAAAGTGTCATTTAAGACCTTACTTGATAAAGGGTTGATAAGATACCTTGTACTGGTGGGGTAACTACTAACTTTCTCTCTTTGGAATTCAAGGGGTGAACTACTAACTTTCTTCACAAGGTGGGTTTCTTTCTAGATTAGGGTTTGGCATGCAATGATATTATTGATAATAGTATTAGTAATGATATTATGAATAAGGGTTTTGTTAGGCTATTAGTAACAATACCTTATTCGGGTTTTTTTAGGCTACACCATTTGGTGGTGTAGATTTTGAAAGTGGTCGGTATTTTTTTACACTAAAATACCTTTGAATTGTAATACAAAATTTTTAAAGTAAGGGTATTTTTTATCATTTAGAAAGATAGAATGGATATTTTTATAATAAAATAGTAGCATTATATTAATAGATAAAAACAAGTAATGCATCTTGTAGATGATGTCATATATCATATCAATGATGTCATTGTCTACTATTGTTAATAAATGACTTTGTTTCTATTAGAAATTTTTAATTTACCCTTGACTAATTACTTCAAATACCCCTAAACAAAAAGTTACTATACTATAGGATCAGAGTATCTAAATGTCTAAAAAAATTGAGCATTTTAAGGGTCTACACCACAAGTGGTGTAGCCTAACAAAACCCTATTAATAATAGTATTAGTAATGGTTTTGTGTGAGAACAGGGTCACACTTAAATGAAAAAGATTTTATGCTCATAC